AAAATTAGAAATTTATTCTTTTTTGCTTTGATGGATATCCAAAAATAATATTTCATAGTATAGGTATCATTTCCATGCTAATTACTTAGATTAAAACATGAAAGAGTGATTACATATTTACTCTGTATTTTAAATGCACACTGATTTTATTAACATTAGTTAAAATACAGTGATAATTAACTTTGTTGTTGTTGTTGTTATGTGCTGTCAAGTTGGACCCGACTCATAGCGACCCCTCCTTGGGTTTCCAAGGCAGTATCACTACAGAAGTAGATTGTCCCATCTTCCTTCCGAGGAGTGGCTGGTGGGTTTGAACCGCCAGCCTTCTGGTTAGCAGTCAAGTACTTTAGGCACTATGCTACCAGAGCTCCTTAGAATTCAATTTTGTTTATAAAAGTTAAACTCTGTTAGTTGTCTGTAAACTATCACTGAATTGGTAGAACTAGTAGGGAATAGTTGGGTATGTATCTAAGTGAGAATAAAAGAAAGCAAGAGAGACATTAGTGAGAAAGGGAAAGAGAGAGATCTAGATCAGGCTAGATCGTAAACACCAACATATTATGATGGTATTGTTAATGAAAAATAATCTGTAGAAAGCCTCTTCTTTTGAGAGATAGGTCCTGGACACAAACACTATGTACTATGGAAAAGCATAGAAATTAAGAGTTGAAGGGGAATCTTAGAACTCATCTCATTTATCTATGCTTGTATTTCACAAATGAGAAAATGAAGGCACAGAAAAGCTACATGTTGTGCTAAGCCTATACAGGAGTGGTTTCTAGTGTTTTATGTTCTAGGCCAGATGATCTTTCTTTTATTCTCTAAACTCCACTCTTAAAGACTTTGTCTTCTACAAAAACGGAGCTGTTGGATTAATAATTTCAATAGAAAAACAAATGTATACTGAGAATATTACTTAGAGTGGAATTTTATCATTATGCCTCAATTACATGCATTAAAAATCTATATATTTGTAAAGCTAATGCCTTACACTGACACCCTAATTTTTAAAAGATATTTCTGTTTGTGGACTTCTAGTATCACTCTTGTGATGGTATAGTTTGACTAAAACATTAGTTTTTGAGAATTCTGTGCCACTCAGGCACAGAAATGGAAATCACTGATGATGACAAATGACTAAGAAAGTGCCATTTTTTGTGTGTGTGATTTTTATGGCAGGTAAGCAGTTGCTATAAGTCTGAATTGACTTGATGGCAGTGGTTTGGTTTTTGGTTTTAAGTTAAAAGAGCACACAGTATCTCCAGAATTGAAAATAGTTTCAAAATAATAACTTATTAATTTTCTATGTCTTATAGTTTGGGAAATATGCAAAGCAATGAAGAGCAGTGAAACACCTAATTCAGAAGATGAAAAATCTAGTTTCTGTTTCATCTCTTCATTCCCTGCCTGCGAGCGTTGTTTTTACCCTTTATTCAATCATTTCCTTAATCCAAAGGATTTAAAGCCTTTTGAACACAACTTTTTCATGACTCTAAACCAAAAACCATGGAGTTGATTCCAACTCACAGTGACCCCCACTGGGTTTCTAAGGCTGTAAATCTTTACAGAAGCAGACTGCCTCATTTTTCTTCCACTGAGCTGCTGGTGGATTTGAACCACTGACCTTTTGGTTTGCAGCCACATGCCTTAATCACTATACCACCAGAGCTCCTTTTTATGACTCAGTCTAGTTAAAATCATCTGCAAAAAATATGACCCCTTAGAAGGGCTTTGTGGTTAGGGGAAGTTGGAACAACGACATTCAAATATAACTAAAACAGAAATAGGAGAGCAAAGACAGAGTCCAAGCAAATAGGCTTACAGGGCACTGCAGGTCTAATTAAATGTCATTTCTATGATGTATCTTCTTCTCTGAAGAAGTAGCAAGAGCTCTAAGAAGTCTGCACTTTTAATGGTCTGTCAGAAACCAAAACCAAACCAAACTCACTGCCATGAAGTCGATTCCGACTCACAGTGACCCCCACTGGGTTTCCAAGGATGTAAATCTTTATGGAAGCAGACTGTCTCATCTTTCTTTCATGGGGCTGCTGGTAGGTTTGAACCACCAACATTCTGGTTAGAGGCCAAATGCCTTAATCACTACACCACCAGAATTTCTTAACAGTCTTTAAAGAGCTCTGCAGAAAGGAAAAAAAGAAGAAGGAAAAAAAACCATTCCTGAGACTGAGTATGAAAAGACTGAGGAAAGCAGGGCAAAGAGGGATCACAGAAGTGGAACACAGAGGAGTGCTCAGGTGAGACACTCATCAAGATGGTGCAGTGTTGGGGCGGCACCAGAAAGAGTTATATGAATAAGTTACATAAACAGCTGGAATGCTGGCAAGGGTGACACAAGACCCTGGTAGGCCAGAAACATACATGATCCTAGAGACATACATGGTGACAGCATCAAGTGAGCTTCTGTGAAGAGGCTGGGCTGAGACGATTTGTTGGGGATGAGCTTTACCAAAGTCCTTACTTCATTTGGTCACTAGACCCCTGAAGAAGTGCATCTTCCTGTGGCTGAGAAGAATTTAGGTTGTATGAAGAGGAGAAATGTATATTTGGAATAGAGAAGAGTTGCGGCTTGAGATTTGTGTCTGTTAGTGAAACAGTCAGCAGCAATACTACGGGGCCTGGGTCACCCAGGGAAAGTTAAACATGAGAATGTCATCAGAAGATTATTTTTCTTCATGGTAATGTGACTATATCAGAATGTTTTTCTAAGCATTAGATGCTTTCTCCTTTCCTCTCCCTAGGGATACCTAAATGATGAATTTGTCTGAGGAAAGCAATTGAGAAAGAGAACTGTTAGTTTGGATCAATTTCTTAAATGTAAGCAAAAATAAGGAAAGGCAGTCACTGCCAATCCCTGCCCAAAACTCCACTGTTGTCTGAAGCACAATTCCAAGCAAAATGGGGGATGGAATCTTGTGCTGGCTTACTTTCTTCACATGTGTGTGTGTGTGTGTGTGTGTGTATTGGAGCAGCACGAGCAGCTTAAAGAAGGCTTAAATGAAGGGAAAAAAAAACACTAAGAAAGCAGAAAAGACATATTTTTCTATTTCTAATTTTTCTTGTACCTTTCTAACATACATGTATTTCTTGATACCTTCTGACAGGCATTATCTTATTACAAATGCACGAAACACATGGGAAGAAGAAATTCTTGAAGATAAGAAGACCCTATAGCTTCTATCCATACTACCTAAGGATGTTAAATGGCTAAGTAAGGTCGTTTACAATGTCTTCCAAGTGAGTAAGAAACTATTCATTAGAGGCTCTAAAGGGATGCTCCCAAGTAACATAAGGAGATTTTCTGGAAGTTTATATAAAAAACCAAACTCACTGCCTTGGAGTCAGATCCGACTCACAGCGACCCCTCCTTGGATTTCCAAGGTGGTATCACTATGGAAGTAGATTGCCCAGACTTCCTTCTGAGGAGTGGCTGGTGGAATTGAACCACCAACTTTCTGGTTAGCAGTCAAATGCCTTAGGCACTATGCCAGCAGAGCTCCATGTTTGTAAATGTCCGGACAACTAAAATAGCCTTTCAGACAAGAACATAGAGTGTCCTCCAATTTATGCATAACTGTCAGTGGCAGACACAAGTAATTTCTAGAATAACGTGTAGTTGCAAAATCTGACAACATTCAGATGAGTACGCCAGACCAAGCAGCACAGAAAAGTTAATGAAAAACTCTTCATATGTACTGATAGGAACATCATTGTTTCTTGCTTTTGTGCCAGACAGTGACAGTCAGCTTGTGCTATGATTGTACCTGAGTTCCTTGTTAGCAAGCTAAAAGTACTTCCAAACATTCTGTATTAATTTCAGATGTTCATGATAAATGGCATCTACTTTGATGCTTCAACATTTGCATATACATACTACTGTTGCTGTGTGCTACTGAGTAGATTCTGACTCACAGCAATTCCACGTGACAGAGCAGACCTGCCCCGTAGGGTTTTCTAAGCTGTAATCTTTACAGAAGCACACACACACACACGTATGCCAGTTCACATTAGGGTGTTTTCCCAATGTAAACTTGTTTATTTGCTTCGTTTTTGTAAGAGACACAAAGTGAAATTAACTGAAAGATAACCTTCCTGCTCTTATAGGCCTTTACAAATCTGACCTGATTATGATGCACTAGTTGAGGGTTGCGTAAGTTCATGGTGACTATGGTTGCAAGTGTTTAGAAGAAAGTACTGACAATGAACCATTTAGAAAATACACCCAGGAGAAAGGGTTTAGGGATTAGAATGATTTAGCTGGAAGGAGAAATGGATAAAGAACCATGCTGTTTCAAAGGAACACCATTACAGTCAGCAGTCAATTACCAAGGGTGTTATTGTCATGGAGGGTAGTAAGTCCCTGTAGTTTGTCCAGTATTTGTTATGTAATATACGGAATCTTCTCTAGCTAGCTTTCAAAATAGAATAATCAATGTCTTATGAGTCTGGCCTGGGATCAGGGGATAAACCTAGATGACCTTTCAAGATTCCCTTCCTACACCATATAAAAACAATAAAATACCAGCATTACTCAACAGACTTGTTACAGTAAAAGTGCATTGAAATGCAGAAACATAATGTCATCCTTACATGAACAGCTCGGTAGCCTATTTGATATTGCTTTCAGACATTAAGTGGTAAGCTGAAGCAAGATGATATATGTAAACCTTTGCAATAAATCAAAAGATAAGCCCACAAATTCTCAACTAAAATTGCCTTAGGAGGGCCTGATGAAATTGAAAATGTCTCCTCCATATGTGTAGCTTCAGACTTTATAACGTTTAAAGAAAATGTTCTAAAAGAAAAAGTTGGCATGTAAAAAGCACAGGGGAAGGAATCAGCAATGATCAGAGCAAAAACAATTCTAGAAGGCATCTTAATTTTCATATGGCTCATTTGCATTTAAAACACTGAGAATTCCTATCACACTTGTACAAAAATGTGTACATATTAAATTACTTTCCACTTGAAAGAACATTTTCCTAAATGTTTGGAAGATGATCAAATTTTAACTGGAGGACTTGTTTTCTTCCATCAGGTGTGGGGGAGATGTGGCTTCCTGGTATGAGAGGCAACAGTTGATTCTAATAGTAGAACAAGACAAAAATAAGAAAGTAAATAGAAAACAATTCTCATTTGTACAGTTTGATTTAAAAGTGTTAAAATAAAAAGGATACATATGGTACAAAGATGTCAAAAGACATCAATTTTTAAATTAAGCAGTTTATGCTTCCAAAAATTGTGATCTTCTGATACATGCATATTAGCTTCCATTACTTATCCTAGGATTCTCATGCATGTACTATGATTTACTTCAATACACTCATTTCCAAATTACTAATCAGTTTTAAAAAGATAAATACCTGCCAACTAATAAAGAATAATTCCATGAGTCTAAACACTATCCATCTCAAATTTCTAATAACAGCTAAGATACTGACAGAACAGCAAAGATTAAAAAACCCCATACCTATCAACTTCAAACAATATTTAGTCTTAAGAAAATTATTAGTCATCCACCCAGAGATCTAGAAGCTGGGCTCTAGGTAGAAGTTCAAACTCACAAAATGAAAATTACACTGAATATAAAGACTTTTCCTGCAATTATCTGGTTTATTTTCTGAAAAGGTAGAATGTCTAGGAATGAGGTGCTTCAGAAAGAAACCAGAACCTGAAAACCATCCCTGTCTTTCTCTTGGTCTTGCTCTCTGGGAACTTCACCTGAAGGAGGGAGACAGTTAGGTATGGTTTCACGGGTAAGTGCTATAGCGGGGTCTATTGTATAAGGTAGACGGGATGCATCTTATTGAGTACAGACAACCTGACATAATCTTTGTAAACTAGATTACCTATGTGCATGCTACTCTTTGGGCTTCTTTCTTTCCGCTGTCCCTGGGTCTTTTGATAGGTCTTGTGTTGAGTTATTGATCCGCATCAGCTGGGCTTCAGGATATTAAGGAAAGAGTCCCCTTGGTCTGTATTGATTGGGGTGTTAAGGAGAGAGCAGCACCCCCTCACCCCCAAGGCTAGTGTGCTGAGAGATTCCCAAGTGGAGAATCAATCAATTATGGTGCAGCAGCGCCACTGTCCACTCTCCTTGTGCAGATTCACCCTCCATGGCCAAAGCATCTCCAGGGAAGTCTGCCTTTCAAGGCCAAAGTGGGGAATCTCTTGGGATGTTTTTTAAGGGATGAATGTTTTACACACAATTCATACTGTATTTAAAATTGCTGTGCCAGACTTACTGGAACAAACCTAAATCTTTCATTATTCAAGAAAGCTGTATTGGGTTTGACTTGCAAACACTTAATGTGACTTTTACAGTAAAAGGCAAAATGGCCTATGCAATAAGGATTAGGATAGCCATTGATTTTGGATACATGGAGATAATCTTCACATTTCATCTTATTGATTTGATCGTTTCCCTCCAACAAACTTCTATATCAACTATTAACAGGATTTTTTTTAAAAGACTCTTTTCTTGCTTTTGTAGACATGCCAAGAAGAAGAAAAATGACCAAATATAGATCAAAGGTAGAAGATTAAGGAAACATTAAATGTAATGACTGTCGGTTTCTGATAAATTGACAATTACCTTCCTGGTTTATTAATAAGCAATGTTCATCCATTTGTTTATTCATTTGAATAATATTTATTGAGTACCTTCTATGTGTCAGATATTGTTTTACGTGCTGGAGATACATGGCGAGAAAAACCTCAACAAATCTGCTTTCATGGAGTTATGTTTTAACTTCAAAGTTTCGTGAAACCAAGTGAAGGATAAAAACCAAAACACCCATTGCTATGGAATCAATTCCAACTCATAGCTACCCTAGGACAGAGTAGGGCTCCCCATAGGGTTTCTAATGCTGTAAATCTTTATAGAAGCAGACTGCTTCATCTTTCTTCCAAGGAGTGACTGGTGGATTCAAACTGCAGACCTTTTGGTTAGCAGCTGAATGAGCAATGACTACACCAGTACAGATCCTAGAGTGAAGCACAGTCGCCTAATAAACTGCAGAATCAATGCTTGTCATCTCTTCACAGTACTATTCTGCAGTATTGGCTCACTTTAGGATAGGATTGGTTTCAGATGTCTGAGTTTCATCCCTTTATATCCTAGGAAAGGCAGACTTAGGTGTCAGCCATTTGGTGAGAAGATGGAAGAGTCACGTTTCCTTTATTACATATCTGGAGGCTATATAAAGATAGCCGGATTCCACTGGAAGGCTGGGAAGATTCAGTCCTGTTGTCATCAGGGTTTTATTGTATAAAGTTGTGCTTTCGGTACACAATCTGGCAGATGGTATGTCCAATGCAGTGTAATGAAAGAGTGGTGCAATAATTTGTTTCAAGTGCATTAGGAATAAGATTTTGCAACAATCTGGATATTTGGATAATTCTTTAGTTTTATTACACCGAATACCAATACTTAGTAAGAGAAACAAAAACATCTAAAGCAATACAATGAAAAGGTCTTGGTGTCCACCTCATCTCCCTTTGAAAGGGAGATGGGAAAAAGGAGGGGAAAAAAAGAATCATTTTATGGTACTTTAACTTTCGAAGAGAAGTACCTGCTGACGTCTTCTGTTTCTTCCCTCATTACGGGCTTTTCTTTTTATATGGTCCTCTCTAAAAGAGTCAAAGTAAGGGCTCTCCAGGAGTTGGGCACAGGTTAATCTGTCATCTGGATTCATCTTCAGACACCCCTTTGGAAAAATAGAAAAACAAAGGAGATATTAAGAGAGAGGCCTATTATGTTACTTTGTCTAAAAATCTCTGAAGGATAATTCAGTAGAGCAAATATGAGTTTAGAAAATATTCATATTTGTATTATTAAGTACTAGGAACTCATTAGGTGCTCTGGTGGTGTAGTAGTTAAGGCATTTGGCTGCTAACCAAAAGGCTGGTGGTTTGAATCCACCTGCCACTCTGTGGAAGAAAGATGAGGCAGTCTGTTTCTGTGAAGATTTATAGCCTCCGAAACCCAATGGGGGTTGCTATGAGTTGGAACCAACTCAAAGGCAGTGAGCTTGGTTTTGGTTTGGAGAAACTTGTAAATAGCTAGGATTGCTCTTCTTTTGCCACTTCAGTCTTTACAGAATAGAACTGATTAACATTTCACGCCTCTGGAAGTGGTGGACGTATAGATCATGCATTTATATCAATGACATCTCTTCATTGCTTGTCAAAGCAAACTCTTTGTAGTCATTTTCAAAGTGTAGTCCCCAAATTACTAGCATCAGGATAACCAAGAACTTGCTAGAAAAGGAAGTTCATGTGTCCTACCTAAAACCTACTGAAACAGAAACCTGGGTGGGGCCTTGCAGTCTGTGTTTAGCAAGCCCTCCAAGGGATTAAGGTGCATGTTCAAATTTGAGAAATGACTGGAGATGGCAAAGAGATGTAGTGTAAGCCTCAGTAATGAGAAAGAATCTAAAATGGGGATAATTGGAATATGTATTCATAAAAGAAGAACTAGCAGCAAAAAGGAAAGCACAGCATTATGGTCCTTTTTATTAGAGGCCATTACAAGCCTCTAATTCTGCCCCTGAAAGTTGGAAGGACTATGGCAGCAGAGGCATCAGATATAGTACTGACAAGAGACATTTTCTCTGTGAAGCCCTGATACTCTTTGGCCAGTCCTCAGTGGAACTGTTATAATAACCTATAAGCTCTAATTCCATATCTGTAAATCCAATGGTATTTTTGAGTTCTCATCTAAAGAGCACAGGCAACACAGCAAGGTACAAATGAGACCCCTTCCTAAGTGTGCCTTTAAGTCAAATTTGTAGGTAAGTCAGAACAGGTGTGTACAGTTTTTATTTAGGCTTACTTTAGTGCAGGAAAAGGAACTCTGGTGGTACAGTGGTGTGGTAGTTCAAAAGTTGTGTGCCAACTTGGCTGGGCCATGATTTTGAGTGGCTTGACAGGAGGATGTAGTTATTCCTCATGATGAGATTGTATGTGGTCTAATCACCTCTGTGGTAGTTAAAGTTATATGTCAGCTTGGCTTGGCCTGGTTGAGTGGCTGGGCAGCTGGTGGTAGTTATTCCCCATGATGAGACTGGCAATCAACTCCATGGTAGACTCTGCCTCAAGCAGCTGAGTAGCTGCTTTAGGGATGTGGTTTGTTTCCTGTATACAAGGAGAAGCTCTGGGAATAGTCTATAGCTTTTTGGCATGCTTGGACCCTGCATATAGCCAAGTTGTCATTCAGCAGCCTGACGTGTTTTGCCGATCTTGGGACTTTTAATAGACTTGAATCAGTGGCCTGCTGTGTGGTTTGTTAGTTTTGGGACTGTGCCTTTTTACTTGTCGACCTTGGGTTTGTCAGCCTCAGCAACCAGCAGTTTCCTGAGTGAAGAGAAGCCTCCAGTTTCTGTGGGCTTGGAGCAAGATGCAGAGCTAAAGCCCAAGATTGAGGGCTTTACCCAGTTCCTAGAGCCTGGCACTCTGAAGTCCGATTTCTAGCCTCCAAACCTTTAAGAGAATAAACTCTTGTTTGTTAAAACCATCCCATTTGTGGTATTTTCTGTTAGAGCAGCACAGAGGTAACCAAAACAACCTCCATGGGGAATGTGCTAGGGCAGCTATTCAGTTGAAGGGGAGTTGCCTCTGGGGGTGTGGCCTGCTTCCAATATATATGAAAAAACTTTTGGAAAGTTTTATAGCTTTTTGCTCAGTTTGGATCCTGTATTTGGCCCATGATCATCTTCAGTTCCTGGACTTAAACCAGGGACCTGCCATGTTGCATGTTGATCTTGGGATTGTTGCCTCCGCAGTCCATGAGCCAACAATCAGCTGTTTTGCCTGCCAATCTCAGATTTATCAGGCTCAGCAGCCAGCAGCTTCATGAGTCAAAAGACATCTCCAGCTTGCTCCAGTAGGCCTACAAGGCAGAGCTGAAGCCCGAGGTTGAGGGACATCCACCCAGAATCCAGAAAGAGAATGTCTTCCCTTACAGCTGGCACTCTGAACTCAGACTTCTAGCCTCCTAAACTGCAAGAGAATGATGCCATCTGCTTGTGGTATTTTCGGTTATAGCAGTGCTAGAAAACTAAGACAAGCAGTTAAGGCATCAGCTGCTAACCAAAAAGTTGGTCATTCAAATCCACCAATTGTTCTGTAGGGGAAAGATGAGGCAATCTGCTTCCATAATTATTACAGCCTTGGACACCCAATGGGGCAGTTCTACTCTGTCCTTCAGGGTCACTACAGTTGGAATCAACTTGCTGGTAGTGGTTTTTTTGTTTTGTTTTCAAAGCCTTTTCCAGGATTTCAAAGCTGCTCATACAACAAATGAAGAATTTTTTGCTAGTAGGGGTCTGTTCAGTTGTTTCAAAGTGAGAGCAAATTTATATAACATTAAAGGGCAAGTACAAGTTGTCTTTCAGTCAGACATCTGTAACCTGGGGACTTACTGTATTAGATACAACTGACCACATCCTCCTTCTTCAAACTCTCTCTTGGCTTTCTGATAATTCATTTTCCTTCTTCTTACCTCCTGGGCCACTCTTTTTCAAACCAGCCTTTGCCAGTTTACCTCTTTCTCCACACCAGTTTTGTGGAATCCTCAAGGCTCCATCCTAGGTCTCCTTTCTTCTCATCTGTTCTTGATTTCTAACCAATATCATTGATGCCCATGACTTCAATGATCAAGGTTTCCCAGAGACTTCCACATGTATATTTCTAGTCCAGACCTCTCATCTGAACTCTAGACCCACATACACAACTGTCTGCTTGACATCTCTGCTTAGTTTTAAGGACACTTCATCCTCAACCCCTTCCCCTACTTCACTTCCCACACCTCAATCATAACCAAGTCCTATCAGTTTTAGTGCCACATATATCTCAAAATTTATTCACTTTCTTGAATGGGCTTTCAATCTACTGAAATATAGTCCGTTACTCAATGCCACTGGTTTTTATCTTAAAGAACATTTTTAGATCCTAAGAAGATGCTGCTAATGCTGAGCTGTTTCAATGTTGCTTCCTGATAGGTGTGCTCCTGATCTGGAAGATGTCTAGAAGGTGAGGAGTGAGAAATTGTAACTGCAAAGCTGAGGTCAGGATCCTTTTCTTGAAACTTCATATTTCACAGAATGATCTGGAATACAAGCTCTACTAGTCTACAATAATTTTCTTGATGATCCCATCAAACAGATATGAAAGGATGGTTGTAACTATAGGAGCAAGTGAGAAATAATAAAGACTGTGACCATTATCTCACTTTAAGTCTAATAAAGGGAACCCAACAGATCTATATTGTCACTATATGCCATCACTGTCTTTGGTACAGTCATCAGCCAACACTTCACTCACCTGAGAAGCTCCCTGCATAGATTATGGCTCAGTGCTATGGGATAACCATATGTTGTAGCTGGTATGTTATTAAAGGCGACTCAATCACAATTAATGAAAGAGAGCCTTCTTTCATCTAACATAGGGCAGGAGTCTAGGTAACAGAGTGTGATCTATGGAACAGTACAATCTTTCACCCAATGTTCTGGTTACCTAATGCCACTCTGACAAGAATATACCATAAATGGGATGGCTTTAACAAACGGGATGGCTTTAACAAACGGGAGTTTATTCTCTTACAATTTGGAGGCTTTAAGTCCAAGTTCAAAGTGCCAGGCTCTAGGGGCTGGGTGAAAGCCCCTCAACCTTGGGGTCCAGCTCTGCCTCCTGCTC